CACATCCACAGATGTGGAAATAATGAACTTTAGGAGGTCATCTCTATAGGCTTTTCTAATTTTAATGATTTGCAGGTTTAATTAAGTGCCCTGGTTATCAGGCAATTAGAATTATATAAATAGTTGTCAGTGTTACTTAGAAATAGAATGCTGTAATAATCCAAGTTTAATTGGTCAAAGTGTTGTTAATGGGGCAGTCTTCCAAGGCTGATGCAGGGGACAAGCTATTAGAGGTGTTGGACTACCCCCTCCTGAGTTAGTGTATCTCATATAATCAACTGCCATAGTTCTAGGCAGCCCATCTGAGATGTGGGTTGCTTTGGACAAAGGGAATGTGGCATCTCCCAGATCCCAAAGACCACAGCACTTTTCAGGTGGTCCTCTATTACAGCTGCAGCTGTTACCCATCCAGTAAACCCTTCCTCCTCTTGCCCCTTCAGCAGTTCCAACCAATGTCCAGTTAGTTGCCTAATCCTGCTCATATTTTTGTAATAGTTCTTTCATTAACACCTTTTCAGTTACTTTTTTTTCTGCTGAGATTCTAACTTTTCCTCTTCCTGAGCTCTGCTCCCATTTATCCAACATTTATCCAACATACACTGGACATGTCACTATAGTTTCACAGTCACCTCAACTCCAAAACAGAACTCATCATAAGCCTGCTCCTCCCAGAGTGTGGCCTGACTCAGTGATTGATGCTACTCTCTATTAATCACCACACTAGACACCTGAGTGTCCTCCTAGCCCTCTTCATTGCACTCACTTCATCCAGCCAGTTGCTAATTTATATCACTTCTCCTTCATGTTTCCTAAAATCACCACTTCTTCACCATCTGCCAAGTTTCTGCTCTTACTGTTTGTCAAGTAGATTGCCTCCTAATGGATTCAAAGGAGCTTGCCTTCCCCATCCTTTCCCATTGTTTTCTCTCCTATTATAATTATATTTTACAAGAACCCATTTATGCCAATCCACTCTTAAAAAAATTTGATGGCTCCTTATTCCTTAAAGATAAAATCTGAACTCCTTAGCAAAGAATACAAACTTTCTTTTTCTTTTGTAAACTTCAGAGTCATTTTCTTGACACTTCATAAGAACTCTCTCTCTGAGTATTATCAAATCCCTCATGTTTATCACAAATGGTTGAACGTAACACTTGTGCATTTTTACACTCTATTTCTTTTGTCAGGCATATTCTGTGCCTAACAGTCCTTCAAGTTCTACCTCCAGCATCACCTTCTCTAGGTAACTTACCCAGAAAACCACAACTCCCACAACTGGTTTGGGTGTGTCTTAAGGATTGCAGTGGCCCCTATCCTTCAGGTGATGGCATGTCCCAGGGCAAAGTGTTCTGTTCTGCTGGATGAAATACCATTGTTTAGTGCCGTCCTATGTCAAGTGAACACCATAAGCCTTATACTTGCTTTTCTCTTTAAGATACTGTGTAGGCCTGGAATGAGGCCTGGGACTAGTGTGGGCTATTCGGGAAGGAAGCTTCAGAGCCAAGTCTCATGAGATAAGATATGTTGGAATAGCTGATGGATCTTGGAATCAGAGAAGGTTTTGAATGCCAAGTCTTCTACTAACAGCTGCACAGCTTTTAAGAAAAGTGCAGAGAATGTTATACCAATGAACAGTGTGCTTACTAGTTACACAGAGGTCTGAAGTTACAGAGGGCAGTTTGAGCAATGGTATAAGTGAAACCGGCTCTGGATTTTGCCTTTGAGTCAGAGCCAAGACTGAAGTACTAGTTGTCAGGCCTATCTCACAGATCATACAGAAGTTCGTTCTCTCTCTCTCTCTCTCTCTCTCTCTCTCTCATCTTCTTATTGATTTCATAGAGGGAGAGCAAGATAGAAACATCAATGATGAGAGAGAATAATTGATCGGCTATTCCCTACAGGTCCCACACTGGGGATTGAGCCTGCAACCCGGGCATGTGCCCTGACTAGGAATCAAACCATGATCTCCTGGTTCACAGATCGACGCTCACCACTGAGCCACGCCAGCTGGGCAGAGTTCTCTTTTTTACTTGTGAAATATCATTGCTGAGGTAGATGTAATTTGAAGTTTCTATCCATATTATAAAGTTCAGTGATTTTTAAACTGAAATTAACCAGAGGGGTAATATAGAAATATATTAGGGAAATATATTTTTTAATCTTTGATTTGTGAACCCCCTTTACAACTATGTAATTTGACAACACCCCTCTTAGCATTAAAAAAACATACATTTTAGTAGTAAATGATAAATAATTTTATATTAAATAATTTATTTTTTGATCTTTATATATGATGTAATAATTACATATTGTATAATAGAATTTGCTCTTACCTTCAGTAATTGATATATATTTTATAGCTCTAACCTAGACTTCTTCCTTGAGCTCTAAACTCTAATACCCAACTATCTTCCCCAACAGACATCTCAAATTCAACATGTCCTCAACCTCCCTCCAAAATCTGCTCTAACTACTGCCTTTCTAACTCGATCTTGCAAATACATGTGTAAAGTATGACCACTTTTCATGACCTCCACTGCCACTACCATGCTCTATAAGTCACTATCATTTTCTTGTCTGTTAATTTTAATAGCTTCTTACCAGTCTCGCTTCTAACTTTGCCTTCTAACAATTTAGTCTAGGAAAGTGGTCAGCAAACTCATTAGTCAACAGAGCCAAATATCAACAGCACAACGATTGAAATTTCTTTTGAGAGCCAAATTTTTTAAACTTAAACTATATAGGTAGGCACATTCAACTTTAAATTCACGGCTTTTGTCTTCCGTTTTTCTTTGCTTCTTCTTTGTAGCCATCTCAAACAGGGCACCTAAAAAATGTTTCATTTTATAAAAATAAGGCCACCAACACAAAAGAATTACAATTCTTAAATCGATGACAAAAATACCTGTAGGATTTGCAGTTGGGTGGAAAAATACAGGTAACTTTATGCTTCGAGTAGGTACTTTAGTCACCCGCGAGATTTGCAGACGCGACTAGCACTAACCACTGCACAACGAGACTGCTGACTGACTGGCTCACTCAACTCCTGCATGAATCGCGAGCGCCTCCCCCGAGCGCGCTGCGTATCCCGAGGGCCGCCTGCGCCCCGTCTTCCGACGGACCCACACCCCCCACTTCTTCTAACGCCACTTCTTCAAAATAGACTCGCCCAGGCCGAAAACCGACTTCTGCGCATGGACCACGAAGTTTCAATCGCACTGTACGTGCGCGCCTGCACGTGGTATTTTGTGGAAGAGCCACACTCAAGGGGCCAAAGAGCTGCATGTGACTCTCGAGCCGAAGTTTGCCGATCACTGGTCTAGGACTTTCAAAGTGGTCCTCTTGAAACTAACCAGATGTTATTATTCCTCTGCTTAAAATGCTCAGAGTAAAAGCCAACCTCCAAATAATGGCTTAATAGGCTCCATCTGAGTGAACTATGGGCTTACTGACATCAGTCTCCTTGAGCCACACCAAACTTTGTTGCAGCCCCTAACATTTCCAGGCTTACTCCTTCCTCAGTCCCTTTGCGCTTACTGTTTACCCTGCCTGGCATATGCATTCTACAGAAAATTTCACAATTTGCTTCTGTACCTCCTTCAAGTCTTTTCTCAGATATACATAGGAGTAAAATATTTCCTGATGAGCTTACTTACAATTACTTCCCTTTCCTGAATATCTGTTATCTGCTTTATTTTTCTCCACAACACTTACTTTCTTATACACATTAGACCTTGCTTGTTAATTTTTGTTTGTTGTCTTTTCTGCCAACATACACATATTCATACATATAATAAAAAGTAAGGTCCATGCAAACAATAGTTTTTTTTTGTTCCTTGCTCAACCCACAGAATCTCAAAAAGTGCCCTGGCATGTAGCAGGCGCTCATTATTTGTTGTTTGAGTGAATTATATATAAAGAAAAATTTCAATCTTTTCTATTTATCAAAAAGCTTCTTAAAATATACTTGAATTACATTTGTGAAGGGAAAAAATCATGTTTTGATGACACAATAAGACTTGAGATTGTTTTATGTTTAGTTGAGATATTGAATGTAATTGAAAGGTAGGCTGAAATAACACCACATATTATGGCAAAATACTTGCGATCATGATCTGATATTAGGAAATATATTTGTAGTTTAAAAACAAACTGCATATATTTATCATGTTCATGATTTATTTCTAAATTAAACTAGACACCTTTATGTTTAAACCAATATTGAGTTGGAAAACAGTCAAAAACAACTCAGTGCTTTATAGTTGTGTTTAACAGTCTGAATGAGCATCATGAACCCACACTTCATTCTTACCAGCTGCTCATCCCCTCACAATCCCTCTGTGTCCATGACTTGCCAACACTCAAATTAAGTTTTTTTTTTTTTTGACAACGTGAGACTCATCGTGCCCTCGACTTTCTCCACCTCCCAACATGAGAGAATTGTGCAACTTTCCACAAGACCATCTCCCTGTCCCTCCCCAGAGTAACTAGCCCAGGTGTTGGTTATTCTGGGTTTGACACAAGCCAGTGAGGTCCCGTGAAGCCTCTGATGGGCCCACCCCATCTCCTCTCCAGCCTCCTCCACCTGTATCTCTCGCACCGGTTGTTTTCCGTGAAAATGGCAGTAAACAGGTTCAGGTTTGAACTGGCTGGGAAGAAATGGGTCAGGATGTGTGTGGGCAAGAGGGAGGAGTGAGAATGGCTGGAGAACTGAGAGTGAATATTGTTTTTCTCAAAAAAACCCCCACAAAAACCCCACAACATATATATATTTAATAGAAACAACAACAAAAGCTTTCCGAAGGACCAACACATGGCGGAAGTGGAGCAGCAGAAGCAGCGGGCCTTCCGCAAGGTCACCTACCTTGGCGAGGACCTTGACAGGCTGGGCGAGCAGTCCCGGGGCAGAGCAC